AATGAGAGGGATTTATAATACATGTTTTTAATTTTACTTGAAAGTAATTCAGGTACTGTGATGAAGGGCAGCATTATATGAGTCTTGGAGAACCATATTTGTTTAGGGTTTTTATAGTGGTTGTGGAGTGTTTGGCTGAGGGTAGAGATTTGAAAGCTTTAATAGCCTGTTAAAGCACAGATATTTTCAAGGCTGAATGTCCTGCCATCCAGAAGCACTTTGTTTTCCACCTGTCAGAGGACTGAGTAGCAAGAGACAGAGCCAAAAAAAAGCTGTTTGTGGAACACAGAGGTCCATAAATGCTTTCTGAAGCAGCAGGGCTGCAGTTTTTTTGCTTGCACTTTGCAGAGGTGTGCAGTGCTGCAGTGTAAAGGTCAATGACTGCGGCTTCTGCATTTGTCACCGTGGAATAAGCTGCAGGTTCTGACCGCGTAACTGCAGGGCAGGATTCCTTCCCTCCCAACAAGGGCCCCTGCTCTCCAGGGCTGTCTTTGGGTAAATAATTCAGTGCAGGCACCCCAATCTGTTGTGTGTCATAGGAAAAAAGCTCATATTTCAAATGAAACAGTGAGAAAGGGTCAGGACAGGGATCTGATCTAGCTTGTATAAAATAAGAAATAAAGCAGAATAAAATATGGGCTAGATCAGATAGTAAGACGACTGGATTTTAAGTAAGATTTATTATTATTAAATACTGAAAATACATCTGTAGACTTTTCTTCATCAGAGTCCAAAATGTACAGTAAGATATGTAAAATCCAAAATATGAGATAAATTGAAGATAATGGTCCAAGCAGCTTTTATAATCCACTTATTCTCCTTCCTTAGCAAGGAGGAACAGTCTCTTGATTGTTATGTGCTCTGGAAGTTTCCTCCTTCCTAATACTAATGGTTCTCTCCAGCTCTGGGCTTTGTCGCTGTGGGGGATGCACACGCTGCTTATTTTGCCTTACCCAGCTCCCTGCAAATCCCTGCTCCTAGGGCAGGGGAGAAGCAAGGGGTTTGCCCTTCACGTTTTGTGCATCCTGCCCAACACGGGTGTGCCGCATCCCCTGGGCACACCAACGCAACCCCACTCTTGCTCTCTCTCGACTTGCTTTCGGTTGTTGGCTGCCGGAGTGATGCGAGCCTGAAAGAGCCCTGGCGCTGGGAAGCGGGGTGATGGGATCCAGGGAGATCTCTGTCTCCTTCGCTCCTTTTCTCTCTCTCCCAGTGAGGAAGTTCATGACTGCCCAGTGCAGAGAGAGGCTTCTGACACGTCTCAGGCAAGAGCTGCGTGGCGCTGTTAATAGAGCATGGCTGTCTCGTTTGTAGGCTCCATTCATCTGACAGCCAAGAATTATCGGTACTGATGCCTCGCCCTCTCTCTCTCTTTTTCTCCGAGCTAGTGATTTGTCTATGTTATGGGTAGGTAAGCTTGACAAAACATTACACATTAGCAGCCGAGACGGTGTTTGAAATGGGAAAATTGCTAGCAAACTGCTCCATTAGAGACCTAAATAACAAATTCTTTCTTTCCCTCAATGAAAGAGAGATAGTTAAAGCCCAAATTAATACGTCTGTCTCCCCCACTCTGCAGGGGAATCATTCTTCAAGACAAACGGCTTCGTCACTCCTGGGAATGTGAGCTGGCTCTGTGGAGGCTGCATTAGGCAGAGTTTATTATCCTTTGTGTTTTGCCATCCTGGCCATGAGCAGTACAGGCGCCAGATGATGAGGGGCACCTCGGTGAACTTGGAGATGGATTAGCATGGGAATTTGAGTGCTTATTCTTTATTCTAGGACAGTTCACATTTAACTGCACGGTTTTCCCCCTGTTTGTTCTTCTTTTTTTTTTTTCCTCTGATATATTTACTTTTTGCTCTCATTTCTACAAAGTCATTTAAAGAGAGCAGGAAGGAGGAGGACTTCATTCTGTCTAACATACCGTTATTGCAAGAAAAATGCCTCCGAATCCACCGGGCCCTCATACTTCCCAATCTCTGATAATACATTAGAGAAGAAAATGGAAATTGTTCTTGTCTTTTGATGCCGTTGTCAAAGACTCTGAAATAAAGCTCCGAGAGGCAGACAGAGCATGGCTGCGTGTCAGAAGGGGAAAGATCTGCTTCGATTCATCCGAGCGATGCGGCTGGCAGCGGGCGACATGGCCCAGTGAAATGGGTAACTGAAAGGAGGAACAAAAGCCCCTGAGAGGTTTGAACATGGCCAATTTATTTTATCAGTTTGGTGAATTCTACTTGTGGAGTCTTTTAAATAGATCTTATTATGAAGTACTGGAGGAAGATAGCAGAAAATTTAATTGAGTTGTAAGAAATCTGGAATGGGGGGGGATGGTAGTTCCGATGATCAAAATGTAGCCTTTTAAGACTGTGTCTCTTGTACAGAGTTCTCAAATGTGTTGTAAAATTATTTTATAGTGTGTTCTGGCAATACGCAAAAAATATTATCTCACTGGTGTTGCTTTGCATTAGCACAGGCGGTTTTATAGTGTATGAGAAATACTGTTTTCCAGAGGTCATGTTCTAGGTAAAGTAGGTAATTTTGTCTGAAATAAAATGCTTCTGGCAAAGCTTGGTGCTTCCTAGAGATGTTTAATCCTGTACTCTCCTTCACCTGTCATGTGTAAACTCAGATGAGGTGAAAGAACAAAGTGTTAATACAAGTAATGTTTCCTACTGTTCTAGTTGTGTAACTGCATTGTCTTTTTCAGCCTAGAGCTGCCAATCTAGGAAATGCATTTCTGAAAAAATAACTGGAAACCAGATTAGTACTTCAACTTTTAAAATATTTCCTTATTTAATGCTCCAGTATCAGCTGCGTTTTGTGCCCAAGTTGGAATCCACCTGCAAGCACACTCTGATGAGAGCACGTGAAGCTCACTGCTTCTCTGGTAGCTTCTGCAAAATAAAGTGCGCAAAGCATAATGTGTTACGTGTAGACTTTAGACATTGATTGACAAAGAACTTCATACAATAAAAAAATGTAAGGTGCTAAGGTGAAAATATGGGAGCCGATGACAACAGTCCTGTCCATCTATTTCTGTACTGGCCATCTGCTGCAAATTTTATAGAAATGATGAAGAATTCAGTACTGCCTCAGAAAGTAGCTCTCTGAAACAACGCTTTTTCTGTATTCCTCTCCACCTTTTTAGAAATTTCATTTGTTCTTATTACTTGGGATCAGTGTTTATTCCAAATTTGATTTTCCCTTTTGGGGAAAAATTTCCGTGGAATTTTAAGTGATTATGAAAAGAGACCTTTTCTCCCCATCACTGTGCTCGAGTTTCCCTATAAGGACAGCTGTGCGGCAGCATGTGGGAACCCTCAGTCACCATCCGTAAGGCAAAGGGAATTGGACAGGCTTTGCCACCCCCCTCTTTTGTTCCTAGAAGCTCTGCGTAGAAATACTTGGGAGGAGCCAAACACCAAGCTGGCAAGCTGGGAAAAAAGCTTTTACGGGCAGAGTACGTGTGCTGCTCATTGTGGTGACAAACACCCAACAATAGCAGCAGCGTGCTGGAGCTGACTGCGATTTGCCTTTCGCTCTGGCCTCGCCAGAAATGAAGCACGGTTATATTTAGACCAACTGGAAGGGAAATCTCAGGCGCTAATTCAGATCACAGAGCAAGGCAGGGAATTAAGTCCGGTCACAACTTTCCAAGTAGGCTGCTACGGAAGGAAAACGGTGCAAGAGAGTGACTGTACAAGTTGTGCAAGTATCAAAGTGTTCATAACTTCAATAGCTTCTTGGAGTATGGCAAAATTTCTCATTTATCAAGGGGACTTTTTTTTTATTTGTCTATCAAAAGCACAGATCAGCAGAAGGGTATTCCGTGAGATAGAGGGCTGATGGATCTTACACATTTTTTTCTACTTGTCCTTTAAAAGCCATGATTTACTTCTTCCTGCATCTCATTTTGTCTCCATTCCTGGTTTTAAAACTTTTTCTCCCCTCTGTGTTGCTGCAGCAACTCAAAATTACTAGAGTGATTCATTCCATCATTCCAGCATGTTTTTGTATTTCAATTCTAAACCTTTTCCAACCACAGATTTTTGCTTTTGAAACTGTTTCTTGTAATGACATTTTTGAAAAAAGACACGTTTGAATAATAAGTAAGAGCTAGGTAAAATCAAATTTTGCTTTCAGTTCCAACTCTGTACAATTTTAGATGCTGTGGTCATTTGGATTTCTTGTGTGGGGAGACGCTTTTACGTTTCTAACTGAGGTGATTATTTAGGGTTCATCTGAGGAGAAGACAGTTCTTTTAAGAAGAATTTGAGGAACTTGCTGACAAAGCCATTAAATTTTTTCTGGGAAGAAATCTTAGTGGTTATTGGATGTGGTATCTCAAAGCTGCTTACTTTTTATGATAATGGCACATGCATTTGTGGTACTACACTTCTTTCAAAACAAATCTCAGAAATGTGGGTATTCTGGGCTGTATTTTAGAGCACGTTCAGTATTTGGTAGTTAAAATAGGAAAATACAGTTCTTTTTTGTTCTGCTTTACTGCAGACTTTTCTCCCTTAAAAATACGGATTAATATTCTGGTGAATTCCACTTTGGTTTTCAGCGTGTTCCCACAGATTGTTGCTCCTGACTCACTCTGACAGTATTATTAATCTACTTATCAAGATGTCACAACAGAGCTTTTAGTTTAGGTAGCTACGTTCTGTTTACAACAGCTAGTCAGGGAAAACATCTGTATTTTCTACCTTAATGTTGATTTACTAACGCAATACACCTATTACTTTTTATTAATTCCATGAGCTGAAAGGTGCAATTTCTGTAGCTTGTGAATTTTTTCTATACAGCTTTAGTGTAACTGGTGAGATTACTTTATTTTCTCCATTTAATGGGTTCCGAAAGAAAAACCCATTTCACATAAAACCTCTCCAAGATTGTTTTATAGTTATACAAAAATTTGCTATCATGTTTAGTGTTATTCCTGTCCTCTAATTGAGTAGTTAACATGTATATTACTTTGTTTCTTTCAGACGTTTGGAACAAAACCTCATCAAAATCATTCCCCCTGGAGCTTTTACTCAGTACAAGAAGCTTAAGAGAATGTAAGTTGTAATAAGGCGAACATGCAAAAGCAATCATGAATCTTCTAGCTTCGACTTCAGTATCTTTGTTTTAGAAACATATTGGCAATTTGTATGTGGAAATCACTGGGGATTGCACAAATAATCTCTTCAAAGTGTAAGCAACAGTGGAATTTTGTTCAGGATGCCTAACAGTGCATGAAATCCTTAATAGTGCTTATTTTCACTTCCTATTATAAACAGTGTGAGCTGATTAGTTGTTACTCTGTTCAAACTTAAAGTCTGTTTCCTCAGAAAAGATTTTAAGCTCTATTTCTTTTTTTCATTCGTTCTTTTATCTGTTTGCGCCACTTAAATTTAGTCGACCCCAGTTATAGCAGGAGTGCGTGTTCTTGCAGAGTGGTTGGGATTTTTCTGTAAGTGCATTCAGTGCCCTGATGTTGAAATGGTTTTACTGTTTACAGGAAAACAAAGAAACCTATGGATGCTTTTCCTCTCTGTTTCTTAATCACCCAGACAATTTTTTTTATTTGTTATTAGCTCTTGTGTATTCTCTTTGTATTTTAAAATAAAATTCCTGATTTGTAGCAGCACTGCCACACAGATAACCTGGGCATTCCCCCTGGTCAGTCTTTTCATTTTTAAGTGATTCATTTTCATTTTTTTAGGTGAGAGATGTTGTGACAGTAGCACAGCGATACAGTCCATAATAAAACAAGTTACTCCTGCTTCAGCGTAGTCTCAAGATGCTGATGGGTGCCACTGGGCCAGGAACTCACACAAGTCAGTCAGGCTTTGTAGCTCAGTGCTGAGACTGTTAAAAAAGTGCCTTTGCAGTTTGTGGTTTCTGATGTGAACATACTTCCCAGAACTGCAGCTTGTTTTGCAGAAGATGCTAATACTTTTGGAAACTCAAATGAGGTTGCACTGTGCCTTTGGATTTAAGGATAAAACTACTGCGTTTGCCAGTCCAAGCTTACCGAGTTTCTAGAGCTGAAGAGCTGTAAATATGGATCTAAATATTTAACAGATCGAGTCATTAATCTCATAGAGTCTCTATTCTTCTGTCTCAATTCCAATATAGCTGTATGTATTTTTAAAGAAGTACTGTATTAGACAGCAAGATGGTAATTTCGATGAAAAATGATAGATCCCTTTTCCGTGACCTAACTTGTAACATTTTCATTATTCAAGTCACTACTTAGTTCTTTCTGAGGTATGACTAATTTTAGATTTTGGTAATGTTTTACTGTCCTTTCATTTTTCATGACTGGTAAACTCTAGTTTTGTGGGAGTTGACCAAAAAAATGTTCTTTAACTTGACTAACTGCCGAACCCAATGTGGCACTTAACTATGCAAAAGGATTAATGTTAGAATTTCAGAGCAGAATTCCATTAGCAAGTTGTGTTAACAGCTTTCTGGAGTATAATTGGCATACTCATTGAGATCTGAGCTCATAGTGAAATAATAAGTTATTGTGCCATATGATCTGTGTCAAAGCTTAGTTAACATGACAGCATTTTGTGGAAAAATATGGGATAGATAGACTGCAGAATGTCCCATAAGAAACATGGTGGTTTTGCCATTTGGTTGTTGACCCTGTCTCCTTATAAAAGTTTTTTCTCGCTGGACAGTGAGGCTCTAAATTGAGCAGTACTGTTGTTACGTAAGGTTTAACTGAGGACAGTTGTTTCACTATTTGAAGAGATTATTTACATAATCTTTTCAGTGTGCAAGTTTCCCAGTATTGTTAACACAAAGCAAAATCTTCTGGTCGAAAGACTACCTCTTAAAATAAAAGAATTCTACCTCTTAAAATAAAAGAATTATCCATGCTTTTCCTTACAGAGGAAGAATATGTTTGATGTCACTGAGTCATCAGCCTCTCTTAATTTCTGCCACTTTGGTAATGTTTTACCAAATATTAATGATTTCAATGAGAAGTGCAAGAGCATGAAGATTATTCATTTAATTAATTGATGTCTTACCCAGAGTACAATTGAAGAACAAGATAATTGTTGTTGTTATTATTATTGTCATTATAATTAATAATATTTTATATAATTCAGAGGATAGCACTGGCATAACATTATGAATTGTATTGTATTTTTCTCCTTCTGTTGGCTGAATATGCAAGAATATTAGGGATAATAGATTGCTCACGTGCAGCCCTCTCAGTATTTTGTTTCCTGAGTATTTATTGAAAGATAATGCAATTTTCTTTTCTTAAATGGTTGGATAACTGACATGAATTCTTAGGTTAGAGCCAGTTGTCCAAGATAATCTTTATATGACTTGATATTAATAGGTCAAGATGAGAACAGAAAATGTATGTATATTAATTCAAGTGTTATGTTTCATCTAGCTGAAGTCTGCTGTTTAGAATGTCTCTTCAATAGCTTCCAGGATGGGAGAGTTATTTTGGTGATGGGATTTTAGCAAAGGAGATGAATTCTTTTGTGTCTTGGACTTCATCATAATTGTCTACATCTTCTCATACAATTAATTACATGAAGCTAAATGTCTCTGTCTCAGAAGGAAGATTTGGCACCTGTAAGATTCAAATATGCAGTCAAATTATATAATCTGAGATGATGGTCTCCTGATTTGGGGGTGAATGTAACAGGTCCAGGACAGTTATTAAACCACTTCAGAAGAGGTTTGAAGAGCCTGAAGGAGATGGATCCCGTCTCCAGAGGTAGAAGTTATTGTCATTATTGCATGAAGTATCCAGGCCCAGACATGCCATTTTGAATTCATTTACGTTGCAGTTGGGCTGGTACTACAGTTCTGTAACTTGTAACCTATGAATTCCAAAGTTTATGACATTACTTCCTGTTTTGTCTTTGCTTTTCTGAGGCTTTTAACTAACTTGTAGCACAAGCTTAAGAGCCAGGTACCCAGAGCCACTTTGAAAGATGTGGTTGTACCGCAATAGCTCTGGTGCTCATAGTGGCATTTCGTGTTGTCATATTAATTTTATTAGCAGAAAACACACTGAGATTTCACAGCCTTCCCAGTAGCTCTCTGGCCAAAACTAAACCATATATGACACGGATTTTTGCCGAGGACTCTTGTCAGATGAGAACAGTCCATTTTACACGCTAGAGATAATCAAGTAATCTGTTTCTAATAATGTTAGTTGACAAAGAGAATATTCATCCAACGCTATTAATAGTTTTGCATTTGGCTGTGTCTAAAAATAAATCTGTTTTATTTCAAAACCTTTTACAGTAAATACGTTTAAGCCATACGGTCGTATGTTACACAGTGACTCACAGGGTATCCTTGCTCCGTGGGTGTAAAGTCAAAAAAAATTTCTGTCTCTAACCGGTAACTGAGCATGGTCACCCTCCAAGGTGTGTCCAGCAACCTTTTGGGGGAAGATCTCTATAATTCTATGCTGTCAGAGGTGCAGGCAGACATGTATGAGGTCACTGATGTATTTCCTGCCTCAGCAGAATCCTTGGAAGTTTATTCCATTTCCAGCTGAAGAGCCACATTTCCCCTGAGCGATTCAGAGATACCCTAAACTATGAAAATGAGCCTGATGTGATCTAACCTGACTTAGCTGTGCAGGTTAGAAAAACTCCTATCTCTTTGCCTTATAAATCAAGCACAGAATAAGGTGATCTTACCAAAGCAGACCAAAGGAAGGGAACAAAAGTACAAGGACATAATTGAATCCATTTGCCTCAGTCAAGTTAGAAAGAGATGGAGCCTCCTTATCCAACAGCAGTGGAGCTTGGGCTCTAATGGAAAGGAAATAATGTGTCTAATTATCTTCTAATGCTGATTGTAATGCATCTGCATGAAGTGAATGAGTGTCATCACCCAGCATGGCATTTATGCACGTTCAGGCACCATTAGTTATACGCTCATTAGATCCGGACCTGGGGAGAGAGAAAGGATGGAAATTTTGAGATATAGCAAACCAATAAAACAGTGCTGAAACACTTGTTTCAGAAAAGTAGATGCCACTTTTGAGATGCTTGTCATTGTTCAGCAAACTTGTGATTTCATGTCATTGCAATAGAATTTAATACGTTCCTCGGTAAATAGATAGCACAGATTCACGTCAGACTTTTGCTAACATAAGAATTAATAGGTAAAAAGCAGCAACTGCTACCAGGTGCTCTGAACAAGTTTAACAAGAACCTGTATAAAAATAAATATTCCTACTTTTACTGTCACAAATTTGGCTGCTGTGGGTTGAGATGAAGAGTCAGAAACCTTCACTGAATGTTGTCCTTTTAGGCAGGATGTTGTCACAGAAAACATCAGTAGCTTGCAGAGTAGTTGTTTCATGAGCCCTGTAAGAGAAGCAAGCCCTATAAAAGAACCAAAGAAAATACCACTTTATGTTGCTAGATTTGAAAACCGTTAGAGAACTTTGTTAAAATTTTAAGCAACAGAATTTGTAGCTCAAAACATATATAGAATAGAAAACCTTGTTACTTTCTGATTCCTAAGTTCTTGTTCAAGTGATGTTTATTTAGAGTCTGACTGTGCTCCTTAGCACGTGCCCCAATGGCAATAACGGTGAAGATGTACATGAAATATGGTATTATTCCAGCTTCAGCTATCAGTAAAAAGATTTAATGCTGCTGATACCAACTGTCAGTGAATGCAACATGGTGGCTGATGATGCCTCAAGCTTAGCACGTGGTTAACCTGATGGACAGAAAATCTGGATTGCAGTGACAGCCAGTGGTAGGGCACCTGGTTCTGAGCATCTGGGTCCCAAGCGTGGTAAATTTGGCTCCATGTATAAAGAAACTGGGGCATAGTCTGTATTTATCTGTGTGTACTTGGTTGCTGATGAATAAAATTGAAGGGTTCCCAATCAGGAACTCGCTTTCTCTTGAAAACGTCAGCAGGCAGTAACTGAGTTCCACGCCCATCACAGCTGAAAGGGTGGACTCTTGCTGGGGCTCCCTGACAGGGTCTGCAGCACACTGGGTGTTTCCTGCCGTGCTGTCGGCTTCAAAGGCCCACAGTTTCTGTTCAGATGCTCAAAGGTTTTCCCTAGAATCTGAAAACTCTAAGCAGACCTGCCAGTGCTGTTCCCTTTCTCGTTGGTGTTTAACAGAGATGGCGTAGGAAGAAGATTACTGATATTGATTCATGTATGTTGAGACTAACCCTTAGTGGAATTTCCTAAGGTTTGGATGGGAGTTTTGTTTGACTGTAAGACGTGTTTCTGGTATTTATGAGCATGTTTGTCTCTACATCTCACCACAAGTTTCTTCTCTGAGACGAGTACAGTCCTGCTGCCTCAGAAGCCGTTGCCTTGGTGCCCATACACCACTGACACTGTTAATCCAGTCCCCCTGCCTGTCTCAATGCATGTCCTCCCAGCACTGCCCAGCTACCTTAGAACCTCTCCTCACCTTATCTACCATTTCGCTTATAATGAAAATATGATCTTATAGAATCGTTAAGGTTGGAAAAGACCTCTAAGATAATTAAGTCCAACCATCAAGCCAATACTACTGTGACTACCAAGTAGTATCCCAAAGTGCTGCAACTACAGGTTTTTTGAACACCTCCAGGGACGGCGACTCCCCCACTTCCCTGGGCAGCCTGTTCCAATGCTACACACTCTTCTGTACTGTTACAAATTTAGCTTTCCATGCATGCATTTACCCATTCAGACAACCTTTACACTTTGTCACGGGCTGCTCCTCATGCCTGAGGGCCACCCCACAGAGTCACTCTCCATTAAGAGTTCTTAAGATGGTTTTTATGAAGCTTTTTTATTCTGTGGAGTATCTCACCGTTCTCTTCCTAAAACTCTTTGTTTTGGTATCAATAAAACAAAGACCTTGTAACAGAGGTGCTGCCAATTTATTAATGCTGTGGCCTGTTGTACTGACAGATATTTTCTGATCGTTCCTGGAATCTGCTTGTCTGTGTCCTTAAATAGCTCATAATTTCTCTGAGGTAACATTATCTTTTAGTTGTGTTTTTATATCAAGTACATTCTTCAGAAAAATTACAGCCAAAATATTTTCATCAGAATCCTGTTTGCAAATGGTTTTTAAATCCTCCTTTCTCTTTACAGAGACATCAGCAAGAATCAAATATCTGACATTGCGCCCGATGCGTTCAAAGGCTTGAAATCTCTCATTTCATTGTAAGTAGAAAATAGAACTGAATAGGCATTTGGGGAGAGCTTGCATGTAAGAGGAATAAAAATGATAATGTGCTGTCTGGGAGTTCTTAAGTTTCTGTGTGCGACTGGCAGCTTGTGCGAAGCATCTGATCTTTGTAAATGAAAAACCAATCATGAAGGTTAGGAGGAACTGTTGACACATCGCGAGTAAGTTCTTTTACACATGAAGACCCCCAAGTTCACTTCTTCAGATCAGTGCATTAGTTGCTTTCCTCTACGTGTGTCCTCACAGGCTAATCCGTGCCCCCCAGGTCAGCATGGCACACAAAAACATTTTTGTACATCAGACACTCTTTGCTGGTGTTAATCAGGGAGGAGTTTAGGGCAAGTACTTGCATACTGAATTTTTCTTCTGTGTTAAAGAACTGAGGTTGCATTCTCTTGTGCTTTTTGTGGTTTTTTTTTGTGGAGGCTTTTTTTTTTTTTGTACTAGTTAAGGAAGAACTTAAGCTCTTTAGAAAATGTTTGTATTTCTTAGCTGTAATAATTACTTTACTGAGCTGGAAGGGGACTAAAATGTGATTTCATACAGAAGATAAAAGAAAGGTAGGATCACTTGACAACCGTTTGTTTCCCTTTATAGAACCCAGAAACTGTTTTAGCACCAAGTTGAATTTAAATGCTGTTATATTTCAACCTAGCTACCCACAGCACTATTAAAACAGTAGAGCTTTTAATGGGTAAAAGGAACAGTACAAGGTCAGAAGCTGCTTATGGAGGATGAACTAGAATAAAGGGTTAGAAAGAGCCCCAGGTTGAAAGAAGGTGAGCTCAACTGACATGATATTTACCTGCATTAATTTTAAAGACAGTTTTAAAACATTTAGCTCCTTATTATTCATACAACACAGTTTGATTTTTAAGAGTGTAGTTTATTTCTAAAAGCTGCCATAATTTTATTCTCTGAATACTGCATAGTTCCAAGAACCTATATAACTTGTTTACTAGTGCTAATATTAGAAGATTATTGAGTCCTAAACTTATATGTTGAAGTAAACTTCTGAGCCAGAATATAGCAGGATGGGCCTTTTTTTGTGCCCTGAATCCAACTGGGAGAATTCCAGAAATAAATACTAAGTATTGCTAGCCTTTGTTGCATAGTTGAGGCAGTGTTATTCAACAAGCTGCAGAAATCATCAAATCCGTCAGTGCTGTCTGGAAATGATTCAGTAAGAGAGTGACATTTACTGAACACTACAGTTTTGGCTTAGTATGAAACTACTGCTGAAGCTCCGATGCTGCAGCTTTCTCGTTTTGGCAAACCTTCTGGCTAGAAGCAAGCTGGACAGGCAAGACATTCCTG